GCTTGATGCAAGCGCGCTTGCCCCCACGCTGCAGTCAACGAACCAGGCTGCGTGAAGTTGACCACGCCTGGGCCAGCCACCCCAACGCTGGTTCTGCCTACCTCCAGCATGCGCTGCAGGCAGTGGTCCTCGCCGCCGAAAAAGTCGGCCTCCCGCGTGCAGTAGTTTGGTCCCACGCAGAGCGTGTCGATGTCGGCGCCTGGGAGGGTGGGATTGGGCGCGGCGCGATGAGGGTCGTTGTGGGGGGGTGGGGGCGTCCTGCAGGCGTGGCTGCGCTACCATGCATGACGTGTCTCGAGTGCCAGGTTGCTCCAGCTACAGGACAAAGCGTTATTGTCCTATCAGTTCATTCGTGCTGCTTCGCATAGCATGACGCCCCGCGCAGCCCCAAAGGCAGCGAGCATCAGGTGCAGCGCAGTAGGAGTGACCGCGCGCCTCCGCTCCCCGCACCTGGGCCGTGCACGCCCAGCCGGTAGGACCCAAAGGTAAAGATTGTGGCATTGGCCTCTGCTCCATACGTGTCTGTCAGCCCCTTTCGCGCTGTGACGCCGCGGACCCAGTCCTTCACGATTGCGTCTAGCTTGCCCAGTACCTCTTCGCGCAAGCTCGACTCCGCAGCATCCTCGTAGAGATTGCAAGACCTCAAAAACTGCGCACGTATTTCCGCAGGGGAAGGCAGTGCTCAGATCGGACTCTGCCGTGCGCCATCAGTGCACCTCTGACGTCGCCCAGTATACTATCGTGCTCTCACCTGCTCTAGATGCTCGCTTTGCTTCAGATCAAGCGCAGTAGGAGGCACAAAGGAGATGGGCCTGTTGAAAGCCATTCCTTGTGCTAGCTGATGCTCATTCTACAAGTGTATTATAAACGAACAAGATCATGTTGCAACGCTGATGTTGCTGCCCGTTTGCACAAGCAATCCACGGCAGCGGTGTGCATCGCTGCAGCACAGCAGGCAGCCATGCCCAACCACGCTGGTGACTCCTTCAATGCGGCGATGCATTCTGGTTTGCAGAGCCGTATATGTTAGAGTACATAGGTGCACAAATCTTGTGATGGATCGAATCCAGGCTGCACCAATGGCTGGGTAGTGATGAACGCCTGCTGACCGCGGAGACCGTGCGCAGAAAGTTGGACCCACGCACAGACCCTTTTACAAGTCCACGAGCAAGCACACACCTGCGAGAGGACGGAAGATGTGACCAACTGTATTCAATAACATGCACTGTGTGTAATAACATGCATGACAATGTGATCCAGCAAAAACTGCTGCTGCAGGCGGGCGAACCTGCGGCTCGCCTGCCAGGCACAGTGTGCCTTGTGAAGGCCCCAGGGCCAAGCAGTGCCAGGCATGTCTCCTGGATGTGCGCCGTGCGCCTTACTCATTGCCTCACATCTACACCGTCAGCTTTCATCTCTTTGTCACGCGCCTGTGCTTGTTGGTATTTGGCGCCGCCGCCGTCTCCAGGCAGCTGTTGCGGTGACCCCTTGATGTTGCTGATGCTCGCTTCTACATACCGGTAGTGGCGAAAAGAGGGTAGCTGGTCCAAATGATGGTAACATAAAATTCCAAAGCTTACTCCAGCAAAAGGTGTGCATGCAGGAGGCTTGCTTTGGCCACAGGTTAACCAGCTGTTTACTTGACCAACTGACCGCGCCGTCCAGGCCATGCTACAACACACAGACGCATTCGCCACTCAGCAGCCGCCTCCGCCAGACCGTGGGAAGTGTAGCAGGTTATATTGGCTCAGTATTTCAGAAGGAAACGCAAAAATCTCCCCATTAAAACTTCTCGAATGTACTCAGTGCAGTGGCCCTTCGCTCTCAAGGGCCAGATGATGTCATGTTGACATCATCATTGATAAGAAGAATCCGGGCTCCACGGATAACCCCACCGGGCAGTCCAGTCGAGTGCGTGGCCCAGGGGGTACCGGCCAAAGAGCTCAAACTGCACAGACACCGGCGGCCTTGAGGCCGCCACAATCTGCGAGCAGCGGCCCCAAATGCGCGCATCTACGCCCGAGGTTGGAAGCTGCACCACAAACGACCGCAGCGCACGCCCCGCAAACCGCGCCGGCATCTCCAGCAACGGGCTCGCGAGGCCCTCCAAGCCCTCCATTTTGACACATGTTGGTTCATCCGCCTTGATCTGCACGCGCTCTAGGCTGTCAAACAGCACCAGGCTCCTCGCCGCGCGCCGCCCCTCGTCTGCACTCTCTGGCATGACGCAGCCCCGCTGCTCGAGACGCTTGAGCGTAGGCCCCAACGCATCAGCAAGCAGCGGCAGCGCGGCGCTCAGCAGGATGGGCCAGCAGCCGTCATAAACAAAGCTCGCGAGCGCAGGGGGCATGACGAGCGCGTGCCAATGCAGCACAGACGCCCGGCGCAGCAGGGCGCCTTGGGTGCATCGGTTATAGGGCAAGCGGGAGCTGTTGCCCGATGTGAGCGTCAGCGCAGTCACGGACGCCAGCGCTCGCATGGAGTTGCACTCGCTGGGGCACCGCTCGTTGAAAAGCATGCCGCCGATTTCGACGTCTTGCAGGAATGCATGGTGGGCCGCCAAGCCTTGAAGCGTGTGGTCGCTTGGCGGGGACCCCAGCGCCAGCTTCCGCAGGCGCGGTGCAAGGCGGAATAGCCCCATGCCGTCATCGCCGACGCCGTCGGCGTTCGGGGGGCAGACCAGCGCATCCACGCGGAGTTCGGTGAGCTCTGAGAAGCAAGGGAGGTCGCCGTGGATGACAAACGTCCCCGCCTCGGACGCGTCCATGCTCATGAGGCCGGGCAGGGCCGCCGCGACCTCCGAGAGCGGCGGGGCGTCGATGGACAGGCACGCTCGCGAGCTGCGCAGACATGCACGGAGAGAGATGGCAAGGGCCACATTAGGCAAAATCGCCGAGGCTGGGCTTAGCAAGTAGCTTCGAGTTGAAGTCTGGCAGTTGCACCTTTGCATGCATGTCCCGACACCACATTTGCCTGTCCTTGAGCTGCTGCAGCGCTAATCACCCCTTATCACTCGCTCCGTGACCGCAAGCAAATGCAAGCCGGCAATAGATGCTCAATTCCTGTCCCAATCTAGCCACCCACCAAATCTCAAGCCGAGTTACTGCTGCCAAGATGCAGCCCGCGAAAGTGCACATTCACTCCTGATCGCGAGTCGACAGCCGCAACTCCTGCAGCGTCTCCTTGCACCCGGCAAGAGCGCTGCCAAGGTTCAGGCGGTACACATTTGGGTCCTGCTGTACCGAGGGTTCCAGGTGCCCGTCGCTCACTATGTCGAGATCGAGGCGCGTCAGCGCGGTCATGCCGCTCACCGCCTCGGCCAAGGAGCCGCCGAGCGCCCCGGGCAGGCCGCCGCCGCCCCGGCGGCCGGCGGCGAGCGTGACCGCGAGAGACCGCAGATTGGCAAAGGAGGCCAGCAGGCGCGCGGCGCCGGGGACCAGCGGGATGCAACCTGGGCGGCCATTGACCAGGTCAAGGTGTTGCAGGGTGCCGGCCACTGGCAGCAGAGGCACCAGAACGCCGCTGTGCGAGCAGGCGGCACGGATGCCGGATACGTGTGCGAGGCGCGGGCAGACACGCGCCAGCTGCTGCATGAGGGCGATGAAGACGTAACCATCTGCGTGCACCTCGACGCTTGTGACGCCCGCCCAGGCGCCCGCGGGCAGGGAGTTGAATGCGGACACGAACGCAGCGACGCGACCGGACATGGCATCCCCATCGTCGTCCGACGAGCTCGGAAAGTCGTACGAGTCGTCTGACGTGCATGGCGAGCGTTTGGAAGCCCTAATGATGACGTGCTCCGCGGCAGGGAAGCGCGCCCTGGAGGGGGCAGCCATGTGGTCAGCGTTTCGGACGCCATGCGTCGTTGCGCATGCAGTACTGATGCACGGCTTTAGTGGAGGAGCGGGCCCGGCGCAGCCTCAAACCCCACCTCAGTTGCGGCAGGTGCGATAGGCGCAGGCCCTGGATGTCACGGCTGCTCGTGGCGTTGATGGTGACGGCGGGGAGCTGGCGGTCGATCGCGGCGCAGAGGACTGGGTGTGCGCGGCGCGCGTTTGCGGCGGCGCAGCCCAAGCTCGATGCCACCGCCTCCAGCGCTGGCTGAGGCAGATCAAGGAGCCGTGATGACGATCCCGATCGGGCCTGCATCGTATAATCAGAGCTTTCGTGCCTTTTGACCAGATCACGTGGGGCGGGATCTCACAGACGTGTCAACTTGCATACGGGATCACTTCTTGTGAGTTATACTGCGATCTGATCTTTGTTTTGATGGGCTTCTGTAGCACATGAGATGTATCATAGAACACGTAGGCTAGCCGTCGTCGTTGCAATCCTTCGCATCCATGGGAGCATGATTCATAGTTGTATACAGGATTCTAAGGCTCTCTGTAAGCGTTGCAGACGCTGCTGCCGCGCCATCGACAGCTCGGCCACTTCAGCACCTCCCCACGTGCATGTGGATGGGCTGCGGCTCATGCGTGGGCAGCAGGCCCAGAGAGCCCATGCAAGCAGTGGCTGCGCCTCACGAACACAACCATGTGGGGGCACACAAAACCCATCGGTAATTCACAGTTACTGACACATTCCGTGCGCGCTGTCAAGGAGTCAAGGCGTGCCTTCCATCATCCCTTCACAAACTGTGATGAATTGATCCAACACCGCAACACCGCAACCAAGCTCCGTACCCATCAACACGAAAGTGTTCAATCATTTGCGCTTGTAACAGTGACCGTGTGACTTTCATGGTGGTTAGAGACATGCATACATCGCTATATCTGCAACTGCCGACGACCGCGCGCCCCCCCCCCACACCCACACACGCACGCGCGCGGGCACATGCCCCGCCGCAGTTGCCAGCAGGAACTCTGTGTTTCGTTGGGCAACAAACACGCGATGCATTTACATTACATGTGCACATGTTTCAAGACTTGGCGTGTGGTGGTTGCCCCTCGCTTTCTAGGGTCATTCATCCGTCAAATATGTCAATCTCATCACCAGACGCGTAGGTCTCTTGTCCACCCGCTGGTGGCGTGCCAGCCACGCCATCCACCCAAAAAAAGTGCAGAATAGAGGCTCGCTACCTGTCAAATAGCTCAAACTGCACAGAGAGTGGCGGCTGCGAGGCGGCCACCAATTCCATGCAGCGGCTCCAAGCCGCCGCGTCCAAACGCACGGCCGGCAGGTGCACGCACACTGCCCTCAGCGCCGGGCCCAGCCACCGCGGCGTCGCGCCGGGCACCGGCGCCTCCGCCATGGGGGCTGTTAGGCCCTCCAACCCCTCCAGGACAATGGCCTCGTCAAAAGCTGCTTTAATCGTCAGCCGCTGGAGACGCTCGAACAAAACTAAACTCCTGCTGGCGCGGCACCCCTCGCTGGCGCTCCGCGGCATGATGCACCCGTGCAGCTCGAACCGCCTGAGCGTCTGCCCGAGGGCGTCGGCAAGCAGCGGCAGCGTCGCGCACAGCAGCACGGGGCAGCAGCCGGCGTAAACAAAGCTCGCAAGCGCAGGGGGCATGACGAGCGCGTGCCAATGCAGCACCGAGGACCGCCGCAGCACTATTCCTTTGTCGTATTGTTCGTACGGCAGGACAAAGCTGCGGCCGCGGGTGAGCTTCAGCGCAGTCACGCATTTGAGTGATTGCATGGACTCGCAGTCGCTGGGGCTTTGCTCGCGCAAGTCCATGCCGCTGACCTCCAAGTCGCGCAGTCCCGCATGGGCGGCTGCCAAGCCCAGCAGAGGAACGTCGCGCGCGAGAGACGAGAGCGCCAGCTTGCTGAGGCGCGGCGCGAGGCGGGAGAGCAGCTGGCCGTCGCCGTCGCCGGGGGCATATCCGAAGGAACTTATGCGGAGCTCCGTGAGCTGTGTGAAGCAAGGCAGGTCGCCGCAGATGACAAACCTCCCCGCCTGGGTTGCGTCCAGGCTTATCAGCCCGGGCAGCGCTGCCGCGGCCTCCGAGAGCGGCGGTTCGCCGACGCACACGCTTGCATGTGTGCTGCGCAGGTTTTTGGGGAGGATGTGCGCGAGCCATATATATTAGGGTGAATGTGAGTTGCCTGTGCAAATCAATCGTGGTGATTGCATCATGAGCTTGACGTGCTCACCCCTACCCATTCGCGACCCTTCGCACGCCACCAAAACAATCACGTAATTGGCTGCCACCCACCACAACTCGAGCCTCGTGACTGCCGCCATCATGCAGCCAGCAAAAGTGTACGCCCATCTTCCACAAATGTCGGCTGTCAGCCGCAGCTCGCGTAGCGTGTCCTTGCATCCAGCCAGAGCGCTGCCAAGGTTGAGACGGCATTGCTCCGGGTAGTGCGGCACCAGGTCGGCAGGCGCCTCAATTTCCGACAAATGCAGATCGAGGCGCGTCAGCGCGGTCATGCCGCGCACCGCCTCGGCCAGGCACCCGCCGAGCGCCGGGGGCGGGCCGCCGGTGGTGGCCGCGACTGCGACTGCAAGCGAGCGCAGCGCCGAGAACGAGGCCAGCAGGGGTGCCACGCTGGGGGCCAGCGCGATGGGATTCCCGAAGCCCTGAATGAGGTCGAGGTGGTGCAGGGTGCTGGCCAGCGGCAGCAGTGGCATGACCAGCTCGCCCGTCGATTCCGCGGCATAATCGCCCACGACGCGATGGAGGCCAGGGCCACAGATGCGCGCCAGCTGCTGCACCAATGGGTACATGACTATCTGGTCCACAAATGCCTTGACAACCGTGATGCCCGCCCAGGCGCGGGTGGGCATCGCGTGGAAGGCTGACAGGATGGCGGCAATCTCGTCACCGCTGGGGTCGATTTCGCGGTAGGCGGTCACGTGCTCTCCAATGTCATCCAAAACGGGTGACGTGCGCTTCCACACCATGATGGTGATGCTCGTGGCGGATGGAAAGCGCGCTCTGGATCAGAAGAAGCAGGGGAGCTCATCAAATCGGGATGAGTCGGGGACGTGCAGCGGCGCTGCACACGAAGTGGGGTTGCACAGGGGTGGTTGTGCAGGCCAAGCCCAGCCTTACTTGACCCCCACAAACCTGAGAAGCGGCAGTTGAGACAAGGGCAGACCCCTGGCTTTTTGATAATGGCTGCTGGTGGCGTTGACTGTGATGGCGGGGAGCTGGCGGTCGATCGCGGCGCAGAGGATAGGGTGCGCCAGGCGCGCGCTCGCACTCGTGGCTGCGCAGCCGAGCCTCGACATGACGGCCTCCAGCGCCGCTTGCGGCAGTTCCAGGATCCATCCCGACGTGTGGCGTCGAGCATCCATCATGTAAGGCGAGCTGTGTGGATCTTTGTTCTTTGACCAGATCGCGCTTTTCAGAACACAAAGTACGAGGCAGATACGTGTGAAACACCTTCTGAGTACAGCTTTCAACATGAATTGATACCGCGGTGCTGTCACCGTAGTACCGGTACCTCCAGCACCGATACCGATACAGTACGACCTGGGGTCTGGAGGTCCCAAGATAACAGGTATCAAAACGTCGAAAAAACGAAGGGTGGGACCTGATCAAATGTAATATCGGTACAACGTCTCTCACTGGAAAGTCCTGAAACCAGCGGCACCAGCAGCGGGGGCTCAAGAAACCATGTGGTGTGTCTGTCGTCGTACAGCCGCTGCCTTTGCCGCCCCCAATACCGCATCACTGCAGCGGGGCTCGTCCTCTAGCTTGGGGAGCTAGCCTTATGCATCCCAGCAGCACATACGCATGCCGCATTTGAGGCATTGCGGGGTGTGGAGCATACATCATGCTGGCCCACATGTGGGTGGGTTGTACGACTGTGGATGACTTGCAGCAGCAAAGAATCCATTGTTTGATTTCTCACCACAAACATGCAGAGCTGGCCGATGTGCTACAATAGTCAACACACTTCCATGTGAGAACGCAATGAGTAGCACCACCCTTGATCTTTTGCATGCGTTCAGCTAGGCATGTTGACCACGGGAGGCCCCCACGCAGCTTGCCTGCGGACGCCCAGCGTGTTGCTGGCTGCTGCCCTCGCCACTTTGCTGCAATGTGTGCACTGTGCTTCAAATGCCACGGGCGCCGAGCACACCACCTTACAAAAAGGGCGGGACGCCTTAAGGTTTGAGGTTTCCAGCTCTAAGGCTCCACCCTGTTGCTACCTGCAAGCGCACGCAACCCAGCAGCTGCTAGCAGGGACTGGCGGTTGGCATGGCAGTAGCCCCCGCGGTCGGCATCGGCCACGAGCGGTGTCAAGCAGGTGCAAAGCTTGGTTGTTGAGAGTTTGCTGCATAAGAGAAATCACCGAGATTGCTGCATACTTAGACCTGTCAAACGTCTCAGCCACCACTGCTGGCACCACCGTGCTGCTGGAGTGTATGTGCGCTCACTGCATGTGAAGCGGTTCAGCGGTGTCAGCGCAGTGATGTCACTCAGTTCTGTGATGTCTGCCAGAGGGGCCTTCCATGCATTATTGTCCATAAACATGAGATAAACCAACTATAACTGCATCTGGCGAGGGTGGGGCTGCGTCTGAGCTGCCAGATCGATTATTTTCGATCTGCGCAACGGCTTCACCGACTTTGTTGCTCAAATCAGTTGGATTCATCAATAACTTATCAACCAACATATCTTGTCAGCGGCTGCAGCGCTGCGTGTCCTTCCGTTTACAACCAAAAAGCCGTCGCACCCTGCGTCTCCCGCCATCAGACAGACGATCCGTCCGTTCAATAGGTATAGCATGATGCAACAACGTAGCCAGCAGTGCAGAGGGGAGGGCGGCACCAGTGCGACGCCGAGCGTGAGGCGCGCCAGTATCGCGGCGCCATGCCGGCCGCAGCCGCAGCCTGCGCAGCGGCACACCCAGCGGGACCAGCAGCAGTTGCGGCGGCAGCGCGCCACCCCCCTGCCCGGCGCGCCGCGGCGCCGCGCGTCGGTGGCGGTCAGCGCGATCCACATCGACCGCAGGCAGCACCTGGAGAACTCGTGGCGGCGCCAGGCGGAGCGCGAGACGCTGCTGCAGCAGACGCCGCGGCAGGGGGAGGTCCTGGAGGTGGGTTGCAGGTTGCATGATCCACACACCCGCGCCGCTTTCACGCACCCTGCAAGACCGCGCGGCCGCTGATCGGTCGGGGCGTGCCCATGCGTGCTAAAAGTACCCTGCATTACTGGCTGCAACCCCTGCCTCAACGTGGGTGCTCCACCAAAGCCAGCGTCGCCGCATGTTGACCACCCCGTTCGAATTCGGATTTCAAATCGATAGATCCGTGATCTGGAGCATCTCGAGTCAGTGCTTGAGAAGGTGGGCAGCCAGCTGCTGGTGGTCTTCCTCTACACCAACTCCTGCGGCGCCTGCAAGGCGGCCCACAAGCGCCTCGAGGCGCTCTGCTCAGAGGTGCGTCTTGCCTGCATCAACGGCCGAATCGCATCCTTTAAAGCTTTTGCAGCAGCGAGGGGCAAAACCCTCGCAATAATGGGTGGTGGCCCGATCTGCACAAAACAGAACGCGGCATCCTAACTGGCTCCAGCGCACGCGAGACCATGGGGTGGTTAGCCGCCGCGAAGCGGATGGGGCGTGGGGCGGTGCGTCGACTGCGCGACGGCCCCTGCCGTCGGCCGTCGGGCGGCCGCGTCCGTGCAGACGCTTCTGGCGCGACCGCCGGAGCCTCAAAGGGCAGATCCCCCAACAACAGCTGCGCAGGCCCGTTGCTGACGTCAGCGTCCGCCCTTCCCCTGTCCCACTTAACACATCGACCCTCAGGCGAGCCGAGCGCGTGTCAGGGCGGTGTTTGCCAAACACAACGTTATCGATGACTACGATCACGTGAGCGTTAGAGTTTGTGATGACACACAGGCTCTGTGCTTTTGTGCTTGGCTTGGTGGCTGCGGCATTGCGCTCAATGGGAAATTGTCTACTGGGGCCTTGGCAGAGCCGGAGTTCTGAATTTGCAAGGGCCTTTCGTCCCAAGCATCTTGGTCGGCAGAAAGGATCCCGACGCGGCCCCCACTCACTTTCCCCCTCCCTCTCACCACCGTCGAAACCTGGATCCCGTCCTGCCACTATCACCAGTGGAGCGACATCTCCAGGTGCGCGCTGGCCGCAACGTGCACCTCTAATGATCGAATCGGACTCGGAGCCCTGCGGCCACTGCGACCTGTAACCGCTGCGAGCCGCGAAGCGGCCGGAACCCGCTGCTGGACGCCTCGGGCGCTCCCCAGCTGCTGGCCAGGCCCATTCGAGCGACTTTTCAGTGCAAGGGGCAGGAGCAGCTGCGTCCGCGGGCGCTCGCAGGCAGTGCCTGACCGCGCAGCGCCAACATCCTGCTGCAATTACAACCGCTGCGATCACCACAGCCACAGCGTCCACCCCAACCAAACCACCACTACCGCTGGCGCCGCCGACGCCGAATCCATCGACACCGCCGCGCCCGCGCCCGCGCCCGCGCCCCAGGTGGCACAGGGCGCGCGTGGTGCCCACCTTCCTGTTTTTCGACGGCGGCGCCCTGGTGCAGCGCCTCACCCTGCGCGACGTCCGGCGCATGACCGGCCCTGCCCCCGTGGTGCGATTTTCTTTATCCTGAGCTGCCCAGCCCCCGCGCCCGCCACTTCTTGAAAGCTCCTCGCCGCCGCCTCGCGCCCGTCTGTGTCTGCGTGTGGCGCCTCGCGCCCTGCCGGTTGGCGGCGGCTCGGCGGCGCCTCCTGAGCTGCTTGCTGCGGCCTGGGCGCTGCGCCTGCTGGGTGCATCAAATCACCCAATGCCCCCTTTGGTCCCCCCTGCGACGTGCTTTGCTCGTTTCTGGTCACCACCGGTTCAACATCGTCCCTTGTTGCTTGCTGTCATGACCGCTTTCTCATCCCATTCAGGTCCAGAAGGCGATGGAAGATGACCTGCACGGCATCGCCGAGGCCTTCAGGCGGGTCGTGTTCAAGGCCGCGCCGGGTTCCCGCTCGTGACGGCGGTTCCGGAGCCACACACGGCGCGCAGGGGCGCAAGGCCGCCGCGGCCGGACAGCGCGCTCGGCGCGCCTGCGCTTGCTGCGGGCGCGTATGCTCCCTTTCTGTACCAACATTCGTACACCACTGCACTGCCCGTTGGTTGCGCCCCCGCCATGCGGCGCCCCCGCGCCACACGGGGCGAGACGCTTGGGCGGGCCCATGTGACAACACGATTGCTGATCTATTCGAATGGCCTGATTCAATCAAATTGAATGCCTGCCACTTGCGGGGCCGATAGCTGCCCGACAGGCATCCCTGCCGATCGTGCGGGGTTTGCCCGCTGCGGCGCTCGCTGCAACCAGGCGCGCGCTCGAGCGCGCGTGCATGCGTCTTTCTGCACACTCTGTTCTGTCGTTGCTCCTGCCCGGCGGTCGTCGCGCGTGTCTGCGTGCGTGGCATGCCACCCCCTCGACAGCACGCAGCGCGCGACAGCTCTCGGTGCGCCCGAAGCGCACACGCGCATTCCACCAACCTGCAACCACCCGCAGCAGCCCGCGAGCCCCGGAGCAAAGGACGCGCCCGCCGGCGCCTCGCCCCCCGCGCACGCAACGCGCGCAGCGGCGGTGGCGGCTGGGACGCGCGGCCCCATTTGGCCGCGCGCCCCCATTTCAAATTGATGCCGGCCCACGATCTTCGCCTTGGATTTTGTGGGTCGGAAGCTTCCTTTGCACTGTAATTCTGAGACACCTTTTGACCCTGGAAGGTGCATGCCACGGTCGCATGGCGGCTGGGGGTGGGTTGGTTTTGAGGGGTCACGCCACCGCCGGCGGCATGCACCACCCTCATGCTTGCCGGCTGTGTGTGTGTG